TGGATTGCGAAATCTGTGAATTTTTTAGTTTGTCGACCGCCAGCTGCGGAGTAATATGCCTAAACAAACTTTGTAAGCGTTTATTTCTCTCAGTAATTTTGTTGTTATTTTTTCATGTGCTACTGAATAAATTATCAATTGTATGTTTATTCGAATCCATTGTACAGCCCGGACAGTGTTGGATTTTCTTCTCGTTCGCCAGAATGATGTCAGGTGTTTTGATGAAAATTTGTGTAGTTAATTATTTGGAATTTTAGGAAGTTGATTGAGGATACGGAATCTCCCAAATTATTAATTCAAAGTCAACATTGAGGTTTTTCTTTGTGACGAGAGCAGGACATCTACAAGGAAAATAATGGCAATTCTAAATTTAAAGGTTGTTTTGTTTTAAGCTAGCGAGCTCGACAGGTGTTTTCTAGGGTGGCGTAGTGGCTTCATGCCTTTGCCCACAGCAATATCGAATTCTTTTTCATTTTTTATTCTGTAATTTCCTTAAGGTATGTACTTTTATGCTGTAAGTTTTATAAATCTGTAACAGATATTGTAGCCAGAAGATGACCGTTGGTCGAAACTAGTCGCTGCTTTCATAATTTGTCTATTAAATTAGTATGGTACTTTACATTGTATTGCCATTTTGGACTAATGTAAAATATTGCTGTGATACTTTGTATAATTTTAGTGTGTGTAGGTAATTATTTAATATGATCAGAAAGACTGATTGACTGATAGGGGTGGTTCCTCTTTGATTTGAAGTGAATTTAGGAACTTCCTCCGACGGCAAAAATTCCAAATCTGCAATTCCATTACGTTCTGAAAACCTGAAAATGTAATTGTAAGGTGTCCAGTCCCAAACTGTATCCACATAGGCACCAGCAAAAAATATTAAAGTATGGCAGTTCTATGCTTAGAGCATACCATTTGCAAATTGGCGTCAAATGTGACTCCGATATGTAAAACATTTAATTATTAAGAGTAGGTACGCCATATACGTCTATATATATCCAGTAGGTACATTTTCATCATCTGACATTCTTTGTACGATCACATTTTACCTATATCTCTTTTATAGCAGTGTTGGGAAATCACAGATGCATCTTTATTATTAACGGCGCATTGCCATTAAAAGTAAGAGTAACCGCAAAAGCGGCAGTGGTGAAATGAATAGTAACAAACTCATTGTTATGTAACTGCCTATGATGTATTGAAAATATGCACCTATCTCTACCTACTCCTAAACTCGAAATCTTAATTAAATATTCCAAAATCATTTGCATACTTTTTCTCACAAAACCATAAAAGCGGACCCCTAATCTCCAATTACAAATAAGGGAGTCACGCATTGTGTATCCAAAATTATATATTTATAAATAAATCAGGCTACTGTTGCATTTCTATAATGTGAATTTGATATAACACATCTGCTCTACGACCCCCTAATAAGCATATACAACCGTTTACTTTTTAAGTTTCATAATAATGGTGTGCGGTACTACAATTTGCCCCGGATTAATTAATCTCTGGATTTAACATTATTTTGTTATTTCCGTTTGTATATAAAACAGACGCATCAAAACGGTAGCAACTCATATGGAACAATGACACAACTAGATTTTTAATTGCCTAATTAAACAGCGGTGCTTTTTAGCCATGAACAATACGCGCGATGCCCAACAAATATCCAAATTCTCAAATTTAGTGAACAGTGCAGGCGCTGGTTGGATTTGATTATGCAAAATCCGAGGACCGCATTCTGCCAATTGACTCCAGTTCAGAAAAGCTTGCCGGAAGCCCTATTGGTTCAATTTTGTTTTATACCCCTCATCCTCCACCGCGATTTGGTTGAGTACATGTTATATATCTATTTTTATGATTATTTTAGTGACAATTATCTATTAGTTTTTTTTTAATAATTAAACATAATTAAAGATTGGCATTTATTAATTAGTTATTAATTAATTAAAACAGAAATTAATAATAAAAAAGTCATAAATTGGTAATAAGAGAATTATTTAATGAAAAAAGTAAGATGCAAAGGTACGTATCCGATAGAAAATTTATTTAATGAGCAAAAGCAAATGTAAATAAGTATACATAAGTACTTGAAAGAAATGCAAATAATCAATGATCCGTATTTTTACAATTCACGGGTTATCAAGTTTTGAAGATAAACGCTATTATTGTTTCAAAATTTATTGAATGAAGAAGAATAATTAATGAACATCACGAATTTCTTTTGAAAACATTATGTGGTTCTGAAAAGGGTCGATTGTGGTGGTTGTTATGATCGTTTGGAATAATTAATTATTGTTCTTTATTCAATAAATCTTAAAATTAGTAGCTCTTATTTTCTCGATAACCCGGAAACGATTATGCTTCTTACAAATTGCACTGGTTAAAAGTACCTATAGTAGGTATCAGGAATCATATCATTTAAAATATCTTTGATATATTTCAGATTTTATTTAAAAATTTTTGCTTTTTACATCATTGATAGGTACTATGAATGGAATCATTATCAATTAATTACCTACTCCTATGAACCCAAAGTAAATTCAGCCGTATCCGTACCCACACAGTAGGTACAAGTACAACCCATATTGTTGTGTTAACTAATAAAATATTTATCAAGTGTAGGTATCATAAGGTTCTTTATCCACACAAGAAAAGTTTGGAAAATAATTTCTAAAGTGGATAAAGAACCAATGTCACAAATCCAAACGATCTAATCCAAAAGTGCTCAATGAGCAAGTTATTAGTATTAAAACCTGATAGGTTTTCCCAAATGGGTCGTGAGAATTATCAATTCACCTACATGAAATAAATCGAAAGCATTGAGTTGCGATTTTTTATTTGGGTAGGTACCTCCTTCACAAATTTTGGTAACAAAATTCGTACCTACTGAATGAATTTGGTTCCTGAAGAAATTCGTGCTGCAACCAAAAAAGATGTATGCAATCGCCGTCTTTAAAGTCCATCGGTGTGCGTACGAGAAGGAGCATATGCCTTTTAAAAAACGTGAGCGACGTCAAGGAAGAAGTTTTATTCGCATCGCATATACTTAGGTATTCTACATTTGGAAGAAGAGTAGATACCCTGCATCTCGAGTATTCTATTCTCCGAACTGTAGATCCTCAAGATGCTGGATATTTCGATATATGAGCAGCTGATAATAATAGTTTATTGATCAACAGAAGAAAAACGCGCACACACGAGCCGACAAATGCAAAGGCTTTGGAGAGAGAGGACAGTTGGAGAGGTTTTTAAAAGTGGCTCCAGAGAAAGAACTTTTGATGGCCAAGGTGTACACTGTGGTAATTGATATTCAAGAAATGTACGCTTTAATTTAATTAAGTATAAAAAAGGAAGACACAGACACTACATGTTTCGACTTGACGTCATCTTCAGGTGTTCTCTACAAGATGGAGATCTAAAAATTGAGAAGAGCATAGGTATATAAATAACAGTGGAAAGATTTGCACGAACTGTCCACATTAATGAAGTCAGTTCGTGCGCATCCTTCCACTGTAAGTTATTTATACCTATGCATGGTAACCTACTCTTATTTGATATATGCTCTCCTCAATTTGTAGCTCCATCTTGTAGAAAACACCTGAAGTTGAGGTGCCCTCTTTATAAGAACGGTTTTGAGTCCGTTTGTTTTAACTTTATAAACTTCAGCTATTTCGAACACAGAATAGACTTCATAATACCAAAGTACAGCATTTTGTTAGTTTTAGATAGGTATCATAAATACAATGGTATCATACCTATTGACTGGAATCGCGAGTCGGAAAAGCTGGTCACAGACCATGGAAACTAAATTCGAAGCTGGTCACACCGACATGAAAGGTGATCAGCAATAAATCGAAGCAGGCCAGCAAAGGTATGCTGTAAGTTGAGATACAGCGTGTCCAAAAATGATATACAGTCTCCAAGATAAAACTCATACAGTAGAAAATTAAATGAAAACTGATATCGACGAACTACGAAAACAATGTCCGTTACTGACCGAAGAACCCGAAAAAAGTGATGGGGCATCTATGATAATATGAGATAACTATTGCTGTTTCACAATCATCCCGCAATAACCACCCCAACCATGTGAAACTGTTGGTACGACAAAAATTCGAGTTAAGCCACCGACATTCGACGAAAAGTCACCGGGGTCCACCTAATTTATGACAATTATAATTGGGAGGTGGAAGAGAAGGCAACTTTGCTGATAGTTGCGTTACATGGAGATGCGTTTGATATTATGCGTACGATTACAGATATCGTGGATATTCTCAGTCGGTTTGAAACGAAAGACGCAAACGTTGTTTCAACTCCAATTCGTTCGTTCGTTGAGAGGCAGTACGTATTTGCCTATAACTGATTTCCATGAAAAGCAATACTGAACCATGGTAAACCGAATTCTAAAGTACTTAATTGAAAGGTGCGAGCGCACTATAAAATAGGAATTTGATATAATAATAGTAACATGATTTATGTTACTTATGCAACTAACGACATTGTATATGGTACAACGGGCATCAGCAGAGCCTAGGCAACAGGAGCTGAACACATAAAGAGCCAGCTAAGCTGCAAAGGATGATGTATGATTGAGTCGGTATTTAACGAGATAGCTCTACTAAAAGGTTTTCCTTTGCATCAAGTCGACAACGCCAGTGCTATAACTATAGATATCATCAGTTCATGATCAACAGATGGTTCGTTGAGTACACGCAGACATGTTACAAGCAATATGCAGTTTTTGCAACTCAAAAAAGGCTTTTGACACATAAAACTCAAATTTGGTACATAGGTAGACCATAGGAAAGAAGTGATTAAGTTTTGGCCTATGGGGGTTAACCCTGAACGTTAATACCGATCTTAACACGGACATGCGAGCTCATTTTGTACGAAATGGCGAATTGCAGGCTGAGCACATATCAACCATTGAAAAGGTTACCGATATTTTAACAAAACGGATTCACAAATTGCAGTATAAATGATGAAACCTTCTGTAAATCGTTTATTTTTTAACCACTAGCAATAATTCTAAGCGTCAAATAAAATCATAAATTACTGTCAAACATAACAATAATTAAAAGTCTTATGTACTTTCCTACAGTCAAATACCACAATAAATTTGCCTACATCCTTTCTACTAAATTCTATTAATTATACATATAAAACAAAACATTTAGTTCACATAAATATATAGAATTTAAATAAACTTAATCATACATATAACAGACAACAAATAAATTATTTTGCTAGAGAATCCAAAGGTACAATCGAAATTTTGTTTGAACCATCATCATGCAACATTAGCCCCATCTCTTGTAAGGTAGCGGAATCGACGACTCCCTGTTGATTCATTGACGCGATAACTGCTTGATTTTCGGGATTATTCTCACACAAATTTCGTATGGCAAATATTGTCCATTGGATTATGTCTAAAGGAATTAAGAAAAAGCGTTACAGTTACCAGTATTATAAGTAAAAGGATACAGGGATTTCTGGCATCAATATTGCAGCAATCTAGAAGTAGCGGAATGCAGTCCAAATCTCTCACCTGCAACAAAACTTTGGCTTACTCTGCAAAAGGGGAATCTTACCTCATCTTGATTCTGCTTATGTTTCCAGCACAAATTACCCAATAATCTGATTATGTTTGACTTAAAGCCAAATATAGGATCCTTACTGATATCGCTGTCACTATAATTTATTTCAGATAATTTCGAGATAACAGTAAAGTTATTCTGAGATTCTTTCCCTAAGCTGTGAATACTTCTTAATAAAAATGCGCAATTAATAAGTAGGCTTCGATCGGATTGCAATTTTTTGCTATAAAACTCATTGGCACTCAATTTCACCAAAATCTGTAATAACAATACCACTTCTTCGGGTTCAATTTGATCAACGTAATTCGTTACAGTCTTCAGTATGCAGTCTGATTTTCGTTTGAATTGAGACGTAATAATTGCTGGAATTTCGGAGTTCAATTCAAACGGCTTATCCTTACTTAAACATTCACTCTCCACTATTAAAGATAGTACTGTGAGCCTGTACTCCGGCTTGAAGCTAACATAAAAGGAAAAAAAGTGTTCGTCCTGTATAAGCAATTCCAACAAGAATACGTCATAGTTTGTCATATCTCTGTTGCTGCACAATTTTACAATGTGCTCATAGATATCTTCGCATAAGGGAATCAGATCCTTTTTCAAGTACAAGATGTTATACAAAAGCGCAGCAGCATTATAGGTGCATTTATCCCCTTTGTACAACTTGAAAATAACAAGACTAAGGTTCTGCCAAACCTCAGTCGCGCCATCAATGTTGCGTGCCACTACGTTGCTTAAAAACTGTAATGCCATTCCTATACAATCGCTTCCGTAATTAATGTCTAAAAGTTTGTTTAGCACATCCCGTGTGCTATTGATCAAATAAGGGTCTTGCAATACTAACGCCTGAACATCCGAATTAAAAGCTACACAATTCCGTAACGACCGAAATAACTCCTTGAGGGCCCCCAACAAATCAACGTTAACATTTAAAGATACTTTGTGATCTAACTCTTTTAAAAGTGTACTCAATACTTTTATCACCGACTGTGATACCATCAAGCTAAAAATACAAACGTAAAATGTAATTCAACCCAAAGATCCTCATACGGATTGTGTTTTCCGGTAATATCGTTCAGTGTTATTTCGAATTTTGGGTGCAAATACTGTATTAGCATATTCCAGTCTTCATAATCAATGTAATTCGATATGTAATTCTCATTTAATTCTACACTTAAAGACATTGTTATTCCGATGATTTTGTTAGGTTATGTATTAAACGTCATAACATGCCATGCCATGCATCAATCACAGACACACCCCAGACCCCGCCCTGAATGCTGTAGCTGAACTGTCTCTCTTTTAAATATACACAGTGCTTCTACAAACCACGATTATGTATAATCGTAAGTTGAAAATCTCAAAGGGAACTTTTTATCTGTAACAGACGTTTTCTATAAAAACGGCAAACTTCTAATTATAAACAGAAAGTAAAATTGGTATTAATCGCCATTGGTACTATAACTAAACTTAATTGGGCTAAGCTGGTGAAGTATGACTATGGATTAACATCATTTACATAATCACAAGTACATAATAACGAGTGTCCCAAAATTAACGCAAGATTTGAATTTGCCGCCATTTGTGCGGTGAAGTGTTGGCAACCCTGAAAAAAAGCAATTTGACAGCTAACAGTATAGGGTTATTAAAAATGGAGCGTTACACGATAGAACAACGTGTCTTCATTATTAAAGAATATTTCAAAAATAGTGAAAGCTTGGCGGCTGCAGTTCGAAAATTTCATACAAAATATGGTCGGAATAGTGTTTTAACTTCGTCAACTGTGAAGAGATTAATTGAAAAATTCATGGAGACTGGATCCGTTGGAGACGCCAAACACACTGGTCGTCCAAAAACAAGCCGTTCGAATGTGAACACTATTCCGACCATATTTTGTATGAAATTTTCGAACTGCAGCCGCCAAGCTTTCACTATTTTTGAAATATTCTTTAATAATGAAGACACGTTGTTCTATCGTGTAACGCTCCATTTTTAATAACCCTACACTGTTAGCTGTCAAATTGCTTTTTTTTCAGGGTTGCCAACACTTCACCGCACAAATGGCGGCAAATTCAAATCTTGCGTTAATTTTGGGACACCCGTTATGAGCCTTGATTAAATGAATAAAGTGTCCTTCAGGCTTCATCGCTATCAGGGAATGGTTCCCCAATTGCTATATTTAAAAAAAAGCCTAAAGTTGTTTCGGAACAGTGTTCAATCTTGCTTTAAACTTGAAAAAGGTTGCCATCCAGAGGTTCTGACAATCGCATAAAGGTCTCTAGAAGTAGAAATTATATTCCAAGCGCTTTCTAGATCTTTCACCTCTCGAAAGGGTTGCAAAGCAATGCATCAAAGTCTATCGACGGCACTTTAATAAGAGCCTTATGAAGTATTTCAGATACCTTCGAAATCTTTTCATGGCTCTAGAAATCCGAAAAGAGGCGTTTGAAATGAGTCTTTCCAGAACTGTTCCGACGGTGTGCACAACTTTGGCCTAAAAGTGCTGGAAGACTATGCAAAACATTAAAAAAAATATTTAGTCTTTCTAGAACTATATATTGCTTTTCAGGGCCCTTTAGGTGCAAGGAGTTTTTCAGAGCATTTTAGAGCGCACTAGACCTTTTCCAACGGTATGACAATCCAACCAATTCATGAACGAAAAAGATTACAGCGATAAAAAAATACAAAGCGCTAAAGTAAATTTTGGATTTAGAATGTTCTTAAAAGGTCCTGAAAGAATTATAAGCTTTTGGATACAAATGTGGAAAGAAGCTATCATTTTCGTCAAAAGTTTCAGAGCCTTAAGTGTGTTTACATTCGCAAACTTTCCGGAACCACCTGTTTTCGGTCTTCCCTGTAAGTATATTTAAATTTAAACATGCATGTGAAAATGAAACAGTAGGTTTTAACAGTGCTGCAGACGCTTCAAAAACCTTTTTGATATTCCTCAGAAGCACTAACAAGGTTTGCAAAATCACCTAATCGCGTTCCCTCTAGCTTTGTCTCTGCACTCAAGAATTATATAAAGCGAAGAATGTTCTCCCCGGAAAACATTTCAAAGTTTGGAAGGCCTTCATTCCGGGTGACTCTACGACGCCTATGGTTATCCGCTGTTTACATTCGGATGTTACTGCGCATGTGCAGTGTTCTACTACGGTGCAAAATATATATCTATGTCTTTGTTAGGTATGTACAGAAGCCGGTGGCGCGATGTTGCGTTGCCGACTGCTATTCGGGAGGTTGTGGGTTCGAATCCCGCTGCCGACTGCTCTGTGTATGGGGTTTTGTCAGAGGGTTTTCCTCAGATGTACGTAGCTTCGCATAATATACTACGTATTCAGCATTATGCTGAAATCTACGAGTCGAATGCTGGAGCAGTATTCTTGCCTCTCAGCAGCCTAACTCCGTTCCTTCCGTTCCCATCCTTAACTTTGCCCATCCTTACACTCGCGTTCTCTGGCTGAAGAGGGTCAGGACACTCTGGGCAGCCCGCCTCCGGTATCTCTCGGGGTGTCGGAGGAATGAAACACGTTGGCCTTCCTTCCTTACATATGTTGGCACAGATGCTACTTAAAGGTAAATGGGAGGCCATATGTATGTATATATATGATCTAAGCCCCCGACAAATGTTTTATTTGTATCGATTCATGTATTTTCTATTTTACAGAACAATATATCTACATTATAACACTCTGTACATCAAACCATAGATTATAAAAATACTAAAAGAACATATGATGAGATGACATCACTATCACATAGACGCAATGAATAAAATCATATATCTTCTCTTATATATATGAATAAAATACACGTATGGTGGATGACGACATATTATTTTCTAACCTAACATCGTATCACCTTTTTCTGTTTTGTGCGGTTTTCTGTGAGAACGGAATTGGTTTTTTTTAATTATCAGGTAAGTACTCTCTATCAATGGGCGCATTAAAATCATTTTTGTTGCAGCTGCAAAATGGGAACAGAACCTGATCGGGCTCAATTTTTACTACCATTAGATCAACCCATTGTGTGCCTGGACGTTAGCACAGCCTTCGCTCAACTAAGCAAAAGCGAAAAATTTTACGCCCATCATTTAAGTAAGGCATGCTGGACGGGAGGCTTCGTGACTTTGCTGCAGACCAGCCCCGAATCTGGTCCAGTTTTTGTTTTACTGCATAAGCTATTCAGCGCTCAGGACCCTAGTGAAATTCGCGCGTCGGCCTCCGCTCACGGCTTCACCGACGCCGAAATAACGGGATTGTTCGTTTACGCTGCTGGAGTATTTTCAAATGCCGGTAATTACAAGGTGAGGTGCATTTTCAATAATGCCAGAGACTGAATGAGAGTTGCGCGTTGCAGGGATTTGGTGATACAAAGATTGTGCCTGCAATTGAACCCGAACGCCTAGAGGAAGTTTTAAAACTTAGCCCTGTATGGTCAGACTTACAATCCATATGGAACTGTTTCAACCTGAAAGAGAGGCTGTACGATTTGAGTCAAGGCCGTACATGTCTAGGATTTCCACCGGACGGGTGTACAACTTATTTTTCTGCTAATTGTACATCAGAGGATAATGCCCGGGTCTTGAGTTGGTTGAAGAAACTTAATTTAGAGTTGTACAACACACGATGCTTTAAAAAAGTATTGCCAGGTGATTCTGTAAGTACTGTGGATCTATACAGACTACCTAAATGAAAGCATCAGAATTGGCTTTATGTACATGTAACCTCTCGCATTTCACATTTAATTGCATGTTGTTTTTGATACTTTATTCTGATGTTTCATATCAAATTCAACTATGCGCACAGTTGGAACCACTCTAGACTCCCAATGGATGAACGAAGTGTTTATAAATGCATAGACGTTTGTTTATAAGTTTAAAGTTCCACTGTACAATGCATTAAAGGAAGTTTGTAGATCCAGTGGCGTGCGATATTTATTGTTTTAGAGTATCTTCTCATATCACAGACAAAAACGCACACTTTCAATGCTGACTTTCTGTTTAAATATTTATAAGATATACTTACTAGCGAGCTTACTGGTCATGTCTAATTACCCTGTTAATTTATTGATTGACCTTGCCCCGTTCTATTAGATTTCGGTTTGTCAAATGCAGGAAAACAGGTATTTATTTATTCATTTAAATTGCAACATAATGGTCGTTTATTAATCCTTGTAATTAGTAACTAAACCATTTACATTGGGCAAGCTAGGGATAATCCTGATATGATCAATGAATAAGTAAATATCGGTTTACCTGCATTTGACAAACTGAAATCTAATGGAAGGTCAATCAATCAATAAATTAACAGAGTAATTAGACATGACCAGTAAGTATATCTTAATAAGTATTTAAACAGTAAATATCGCACGCCACTATATCAACACAACTTCCTTGTACAGTAGAACATTCAACTTAGAAACGTGTATGCACTTATAAATACTTCGCTCATCTATTAGGAATCTAGACGGTGGTTCCAACGGCGCGCATGATTACTAGCTTTATACCTATCTTTATTCATAGCACAGCGATATTGAGATGAACAATAAATTTAGTGGGAAGTTACACTACCTTCGCCCGATTCCTTGTTTAAATGATACGATCTGTAAATAATAGTACATTATATATCAAGGTAGAGAAGTCTACTATTATTGCCTGAGCACCAAGATTACATCTCGAGGCGCTTGCGCCGAGGGGTGTAAGGTGCGAAGGCAATAATAGACTTCTCTACCGTGGTATATATACTATTTTTTTCACTACTAGCACTTGAAATCCTCTAAATTAACATATTATATTGATAAGAGAGTGAACGGTTGGATAGAATTGTTTGTTTCTTAATTTAACATGTCAATCAAGTACGTGGAAGTACAAGTCAAACAGGCCGTATTTTGTTCTGTCATTGAGATTTTTCAAAGAGTAATTTCGTTCGAATTTTTTCAAAATGTGATAATTTTAGGTATGTAATTTCTCTGGAAATTGCGAATGGTGGCAATTATTCGTTTTAGAGAACTTGTCTAAACGTTCATTGAGCGAAATTTCGGGTTGTGTTTTCTAAAAAGCGTGACAGTTCTCATTATTGACTACTAGTTAATAATAAAAAATTATTAACCACTTTGAACAAATGCCGAGAAAGCCTACTTTACAAGTGGAAAAAAGGTTAATAATCATGTCATCAGACGCTAGTAGTGAAAAAAAGCATTTATTATCATTAGTAATCATGATAATAATAATAATAAAAATTCAATTGCCGAACAGATCGTGATATCTATTTATATTTATGATTTTAATTAATTAATAATCTTTTTTTATTGTCAAGTGACGTCATTCATCTATTACTTAATTAGTAGCATCCCTGAATAATATTTCTTTATTTAGATAGAATACGAAATCAGATTAGCTTCAGAGGACATTGGTGATGTGCAATGCGAAGTCGATGGAAAATACAAATATCGATTGGTAAAGGGAGATTACGCACCTCTGATGAAGATATTGTCAACAAATTTAGAGAATGCATTACCTTACGCCAATCAAAAGGAGCTGAGCATGCTTCAAAGCTACATACGTTCGTTTCGTACAGGGTCAATTAATGAACACAAGGACGGGTCAAGATTTTGGATTCAAAACAAAAGCCCGGCAATCGAAACCTACATCGGCTTCATAGAAACTTACCGTGATCCGGCAGGTGTGAGAGGCGAATTTGAGGGATTCGTCGCGATAGTTAACCGTCCCATGTCAGAGAAATTTAGTCGCTTGGTCGACAATGCTGAGCAGTTTTTAGCTCACTTACCATGGCCTAAAGAGTTCGAGAAAGATACATTTCTCCGACCAGACTTTACATCTTTGGATGTGTTGACCTATACCGGTAGTGGAATTCCTGCTGGTATCAACATTCCTAACTGTAAGTGATTTAATTGTTTGCTCCAAACTAAAATGGACATTTAGATGATGATATTCGCCAATCGGAAGGATTTAAGAATGTGGCCTTAGGCAATGTAATCCCTGCGAATTATCAGTACTCAAAAACTCCATTCCTTAGTGAAGATGATATTAATCTATTAAAGGAGTGGAGAGTTCGCTCCTTTGAATTACAGGTAAAGATTTTGGTAGATATAATAATTCATAGTTTGATTGTAGGTAGGGTTACATGAATTGTTGGGTCATGGTTCTGGAAAACTCTTCTTTAAAGTGACTGATGGAAGTACAAATTTCCCGGACGATTTATTAAACCCATTAACTAGCAATCCTATTACTTCCTGTTATCAACAAGGTGATACATTTGATGCATGTTTCGGGACTATCAGTTCGGCCTACGAAGAGTGTCGTGCCGAAGCAGTTGGGCTTTTCTTGAGCTTAGAATTAAGCATCCTGGAGATATTCGGGTATAAAGACCAAGAGGCTGACGATATTAGGTACGTTAACTGGTTGGCACTGATATGGGCGGGCGCAGGCAAAGCTTTGGAAATGTGGGAGCCTGGACGTGGATGGCTTCAAGCTCACTCGCAAGCAAGATACGTCTTGACTAAAGTTTTAATGCAAGCTGACGTTGTAAAGGTCACACAGCCATCTAAAGATGATCTTTTAATAACGGTCGACCGATCTGCTCTGCTAGGACCGGGACGCAATGCAATTTCGCATTTCTTGTTACAATTGCAAGTTTACAAATCGACAGGTGATATTGAAGCTGCCAAGAAATTATTTGGTGGTTTGTCCGAAGTTGAAGAACCATGGCTCAGTTGGCGCTCTATAATCCTTGCACATAAGCAACCTAGGAGTATACTTATACAGCCTAATACTGAATTCGTTGATGACAACATAAACATTAAGTTCTACGATCCGCATGTGGAAAGTGTGATAGCATCTTGGATAGACAGATTTCCTGAACCAGAACCACTTTATACGGCTTTAATTGAATTGGCTAGTGCTGACTTACCGTATTTTCCTTAATATAAAATTTACACTTTTTATTATGTGTTTGTTTTAAATAAAAAAGAAATATATACACTTTTTTATTGCCTGTTTTCAACTTTAAAAATATTGGTAGTTAAGGCGGCTGGATCCTTGGCAATGGCACTGATCAATGATTTAAACAGAAACGATGTATTGGACGGTTATTATTTTGTCCACAATACTATATCTATATAAGATAGCGTTAGGATAATAAAAGGTCTTCCTTTAGAGCCCTACATACTGACAGAGATATACAGATGTCACAAAGAATTGCGTGTTCCGTGTGGGAAGTTGTCTCGCATTCCGTTGTGATTGGCGATTTATTTGAAAATTCTTGCAGAAGGATCAGTTTGTTTTATGGTGTTGTTTGCTTAAATAGTAGAGTCAACGAGAAGACAAGGCTGGTGCTGATTTCGTTGACGGTTGATGATCGGTTACATCTTTTATGCTAAATATTCGGGCAGCCGTTGCTTATAATTGAATACGCAGTTTGTCATTTTATGTTGTCCGATTTTGGCGACTGGAAAAAGCAAGCAGTTGTAGTACAGCGAAACCTTTCGTTAAGGTTCTCTTGTAATTAATAGTTCGAACAGCAACTGAAAATTTATCGTCTTATTCATCAACCTAGTTTTGTTTTTGTCACCTAATTCTGTGTTGTAAAGGAAACTGATCAACATTTGTGTGTTGATTGCGCCTAATATCTACCTTTTACGACCAGATTATTTGGATTATTATGAAAAAAATTGTAAGTGATTTAAGGTGTCTTATTTTAATTATTGACCGCTTGCTGCGGGGTAATATATCCAAAACAGGCTTTATAAGCTTGCCTTCCTTGTTTTAGTTCTTTCATATGTTCCGGAGTAAATTTCTGTCATTGTCAATCAATGAATTTTTGTTTATTCGAATCCAAAGTGCGACCCAGATAGCGAGTTTTCAGGTCGGATTTTTCTATTTGTGCCCAAGATCAACCATATGCATATTTTATCTTGTCATAGGCATTGTATTTGAAAAACAAAAATTGCGTCTTTTTCCGGTTACACCAGAAGTGGTACCTACCGGAAGTTTGAATACGTGCTCAGATAAATCGTAATGTCACATATAACTCTCGCCAGGAAAGATTGCCGGTCACAGCACACCTTGTGTCTATTTACAATCTATGGTTTTCTTAAGGTGCGAGCGACTTCCGAAATAGGATCGTGCATATGTTAACGAAAAGTCTTTTTGTTTAACATTGAGACGATACTATCCCGGAAGTCGCTCACATCTTTAGAAAAACATAGATTGTAGACCGGGATCAACTGTTCTATGACCGGCAATCTTTCCTGGCGAGAGGTTTATAAAATTATATTTAACAAAATTTTCGTATCTCGCTCAATAAAAGAGATATTGAGGTGAGTCTCTTATCTCGAGCGCACTGGTATGTGTATATACAATGGTTCCATAACTGAGAAATTGTTTCCAATAAAAGAAATATTTCCTCGTGTGGACTATACACACAATGTTATATGGATTTGTATATTTTTTATTACTTTTATTAAAAAAATGTGCATTTATAGATATGGAAAGTACTTCCCTCTTCGTGGACACTCTGAGCATCTCCATTAAAGATAACATATCCTCCTTTATGGTAATTCATTTTTCTCTATTTTCACTCGCTTGTTTCACTTTCATCTCACTTCTGAAATAACTCCCCTTTTCTTGGTTAACTGATGTCGGGATAAGCTCGGTTCCATCAAAGACAACTTGGTTATCACTTATCCATTTACCATTGCCTCCATATATATGTTCGGTTACACCAATCAGTACCGACAGTACGTGGTAACTGGACAGGGAGAAGTAGCTATCTACACTCATGAAGTGTTATTCAATGAGCTGAAAGTGACTGAGCCCAATAACTTTCGAAACTTTATCGGCATGGATGATGGTTTTTCACAGCTATCGCGGCACGTGGAAAAATGGTCTCCACTTGTTGACAACTGACTCCATATTGCACAATATCACCCACTGACGCAATATTTTCCAATATTGCGCAATAAATATAAATTTTTTTAGTTCATACAAATTATTGCACAACCTTTCAATATAAGAAACACACGTTAAATTTTATTGCACAACCTCCTATATTGTGCTGTTATCTTTGATTGTGCAATAATATTTAAGCGTGTATGGGCCGCTTAAGAGCTAATACTTTGGATGTTCTTTATATATACTTACTTTTTTTACAATTTTGTAAGTATTTGTTTACTATAGTTGCTTTGTACTTTTCCCTTGCTGCGCTCATTACCTGTTTTTTGATTCACTTCGTTTTTTACGTCATCTTCACCGATTCTTTTCTTGTTTTGTCAGATCTTTATCTATAAAAATTAATCCCGAAGATTCCCATGAAGTCAAGTAAAATTCACCAGTCTTCTACAAAGTCAAAACGCTTGCTAGCAAGAAATTACTACAAAGTATTTTGGGATTTGTTCTTCCGATGTAATAGTTTTTTTTTGTCTTGTATAAAGGATAAATAAAGAAAAGTACAAATAAATAAATATAGGTATACTGGATTTTATGTTCTTAAAATAAATACAGCACATAAACACTGATTAGTAGGTACGTAATTAAAAGGAATTGACAGACAAATTAAAATTCGGTTATACAAATTAGTGCATATTTGGCACAAGTTTGAGTTTAACATAGTAGTGACGCCCAATACACATTTGGTGTCGAGAAAGACAACTCAGAAGGCTCTGTTAGCATACTGTGATATCACAGCGTATCGAGTTGAATGGTGACAATTGAATTATTCCCATTACAACGTAACAGACTATATTATGATGCAACACATACATAATGTGTAAAAAAATAAAATCACAGTACTTAAGATTTGTGTAAAGCATCACAACTTAATCGCTAAAACTTTAATTATACAAACAGTATTTAAATATACAGATTCTCATGCAACATTATAAAAATTTCCTTAAACTAAGAGGGCCGTGCCCATGTGTACACATAGCCATCTTGACAGGCAGTAATAATACAGTCAGTACGAAACACCAATGCAGTTAAGCGTTCATGCGCAATTTTCTTACATACCAGAGGTTCCAAAACTGGACACTCATCTAAATGAGGGCAGCTAGGGGTGCCGACCAATTGTAATGGATCAGATCTTCGTTTTGCCCTGGGTCGAGGTGGTGAGAGAGCATCCTCTGGCAATTCCCACAAACATATTTGCGTGTCATGCCCGACCGATCCTAAGCGATAACATCCGTCCATTTCTAAATAGACATCAAAGGCAACCGAGGATACCCAAGACCTATGCCCTTGGGCACGTGCAACGACACGTCTCTGTTCCAAAGACCATACAGTCACCAAGTCGTCTTCTCCACCAGCAGCTAAAAGACGTCCGTCACCGGACCAAGCAACACACAGTAATCCACCGAAATACGACCTAGCAGTACCTAACAACTCCATGCTATCATAATGAAACACCCGTAACAAACCATCTTGACTTGCAATAGCCAACTGAGTACCATTCGGGCTGAAACTTATTTCATTAATAGCGGACCCGCTTCCCAGTAGCCAGCGAAATAATGGATTACGAGTGGATTTTGTTTTGCAGGTACTAACCGAAAATCCTTCGCCAGACTTAAAAGGTTGATAATGCGGCGTGGCCGAACCACATGGAAGTTCCTCATTGTAGACATACAACTGACCTGACGCGTGCGCAGCTAAAAACAAGCAACGACTTCCCGGCACCCACCTCAAACATGTTACCCTACTTTTATCAATTAACCTCTCCTCATTAAATAATTTATTGAGTTCTTTTCTAATGGGATCTATCAATTGTATCTGACCGGTACTAAATCCGATTAGAAGAGTAACGCTTTCTGTACTAGCTGAAAGAGTATTAAAATCGTGGCATGTCGGATTTGTACCTTTATACACCTTCTTATCCAAAGGTTTACTTAAATCAGCCGCTTTTTTAATTCCTTTATACACATAAACGTAAATTTCACGACCGTGGTTGAAACAGATACGCTCTCCTTGATCTGGTAGTGAAACTAGTGACACCCGAACCTGCGGTTGCGATTGACCTTGGGCTTGGTAGCCTACACGATTGGGACGCGAGTATTCACTAAGAGTCATAAGCCGGTAAGTCCCTTCACGGGTGGCGAACTGTGTTTTAACATCTCCTGGCTCAGCTAATGATCTCTCGAGTGGTCGTTCGCCAGCCTCCAGCAGAGACTGGTTACAGAGTGCCTCTGTTCTTCCTGGCTTTGGACCCAACATTCTTGCTGGTATTACATTATTAATAAAATTAGTATACTAACATTTTATCAAAGAAAACACAGTTAAAATATACCAAAAAGTGAGGTTAATTCTAATCAGCTGCGGTTCTGTACAGTTGAACTACCTTAGGTCATAAAGAATTAAATGCACTACTCGCCAATGCTATCCTAAAGCTTGGTATCCACTCCCATAAGCATTAAGGAAGTTCTTCCACTGGCCGAGCTGTGTACTAGCAAAGCAAATAAGCAATTGTAACTGATCGAACATGATGTACGCTACAGATACTCTTATTTGAGTATCTGGATACAGACACAGTTAAGAAATTGTATTTAGAGACTTTTTTTCAGTGTATCTAGCCAGATACAGATGCTTATATTTTTTATGAAGATTAGCGTTCGAATGTCGCAATCGTTCACCTATTTCACCAAAAACCACCCATGTACAATAAATCCCATGTGCGAGTACAAAAATTGTTGTTTACAATAGGATAAGTAGAAGGGCGAGAAATGCAAGTGGGTTAAATCTGGTAATACGTTACCATAACTAACGTTAGTATTTATTTTTCAATTTCCAAGTGTGCGTAGCATCTGGATTCTGGATTCTTCATCAGTGTGACAATACTAAATGTCACCGTGAAATTATTTTACCAGGCCACTAGAGCTCAGTCTTAACAGGATATCTTTGCGGTTGTTTTTTCGTACTTACATTTATATATAACTCTCGCCAGGAAAGATTGCCGGTCACAGCACACCTTGTGTCGATTTACAATCTTTGTTTTTATTAAGATGCGAGCGACTTCTTGAATAGGATCGTGCTAATGTTGAACAAAAAGTCTTTTCGTTCAACATTGACACGATACTATCCCGGAAGTCGCTAGCACCTTACGAAAAACAGAGATTGTAGATCGGGATCAAGTGTTCTGTGACCGGCAATCTTTCCTAGCGAGAGTTATAAGTAGGTAATGCTCAATCATTGTATAACTCTCGCCAGGAAAGATTGCCGAATGCCGGTCACAGCACACCGTGTGTCGATCTTCAATCTATGTTTGTCTTAAGATGCGAGCGACTTCCGGAATAGGATCGCGCCAATGTTGAACGAAAAGTCTTTTTGTTCAACATTGACATGATACTATCCCGGAAGTCGCTCTCATCTTTAGAAAAACATAGATTGTAGACCGGGATCAAGTGTTCTGTGACCGGCAATCTTTCCTGGCGAAAGGTTTATTAGTTTTTTATATTTGACAAAAAATATCTACAAAAAAAAAGTATCTAAGTATCTAAACGCCCAGATACATGAAAAATGTTAGTATCTAGTTACAGATATAGTCAAAATTGAAGTGCTGGATGGGGAATCCCTAAGATCACTACAGTACTATACAACAAAAATTGGTATTCATTTAGCGACTGGCCAAGGGGGTGAAAAATATTCGTTCAACGCCCATGAAGATTAATTTAGATTTAATAATATGTACAATCAAAAAACCGTCCGAGGGGTTGAAATCCGTCTCTAGAATGCACAAAAAATTCGTTTTATTCACGATCATATTGTAATCAGTCTCATAATTGTCATTTTGAAGGATAAGGAAGTTGTGTTTTACAACACTTATTTTTCCAGGAGGGAAGAAAGTAGATTCTCGAGGTTAGTAATGTTCGATTCGAGGTTAGTAATATTTCATTACCTACCTCGATTTAGTTGCTAATATCCTAATGGATGGCGCTCTCATCGTAACTGTCTGACACAGATGACAGCTGATTTAGATGCGAATTGTTCAAAACCGCATTTTAAAAACAATTCTTATTCTTATTATGAGTAATATGGATTATTTTAAGTTCTGTGCTTTTTTTTGTAAATTGCAAATGAACGACCAAACGCGAAAAAGTGAAATAAGTAAATGCGTACCGAAGTAAACACAAGTAGGAGTTGTGATTAACTTTAGCCAGATTACGGGAAATGATGGTTTGTTTCACGTAACCTAAAACTAAACGAGCGCGGTGCTAAAAACAAAAGCAAAAAGAAACCGTTAATTATTAAAGGATCGGTAAGTATATAAAACTCGAACTTGAGTTTAATATAATTGATTGTTACTTTAGAAAGCCCATTACTGTTTAAATTTCTGGGTGGAAAAGTTCAATTCTTGTCTATAAGACATGGAAACATTGGGTTGCGCTTGCGACCCATGAGAAGAGCAAGGGATGGCAATTTATGGCATCATAATGTTGCATATCGGAGACGTCGTAGCACTACCTGAAGAGGATAGGTACTGCCATACTTTGTTATTTTCGCGTTCCCGTAAAGCGAATGGGCCACTGAATTGGCGACGAAACCTCCTGCTAGTGCAGCCAATCTACAGCCACCGAACTGTTTTAAGTTGAAGAACTCTACTGGCACTTGCTAATATTGTAGCGATCATATGCCAAAAACAATGTCCGGTAATTAAATGTAATTTGTCACATTTTAGAAATAGATAATGCTATTTTTTAGGGCTATCGTATTGGAACAGGTGTTTAGTGACTACCTGATTGGATCTGGAGAATAAATCTCTCGTTATTGACATCTGCACAGATTATAATACTAATATTGAAACCCAGTCTAAATCTGTAATCACAAAAGATCGCTGTAGGTACATTTTAGAATAATAAAACTGACATGATCATTAGGCATTACCGCATTAGGTTTGAATGTGGATCACAACATTATTTGGTCGTTCATAATGTGGATGATTTCTTTACCTTTACCTCATTAAAATAAGCAAGTAAAACATGAAGTTTTACCTATACCCTTTCCTGCCCACCATTGTTCATTCACTTCAAAAATTCATTCGGGGAGTAAATTTTTTACTACACTCAATTTCCCTTATTTGAGGGGATGTACATTGAAATTCTTTAGTATGGGCCATTTTTTAACATACATGTTAAATTAATATGAATATTAATTAGGTAAATTTCCAAATCTGTATTACCGACAACATTTTATGTAGGGCAATAATATTGCAGATGGCGCATAAGATGAATGTAATACGTATAAATTTAGTGAATTATTTTATTTTTGATAATGGAATGATTATAATGATGATCGTGAATAAAATCGTATACGAACCTCGACGAAAGGTTATTTTTCTTAGAATATAATCACCCTCGGCGCTGCGCGCCTCGGGTGATTAAAATTCTTCGAAAAATAACCTACTTTCGCACTCGGTGCGTAATATACTATTAAGACCCAAGAGAAAAGGTTTCAAATTTCGTAAAAACGCTAAGATTCATCTAAAAATTGGCATTCATTTGGCGACCGTCCGTCTTTCGGGGGGCGATATCGGCCAAGTACCTACATCAGAAATTCGTTTAGCACCCACAATTAAACGTTTGAAATTCCGATGGTTAATTATTTTATGCTTATTTTCCTTTTGATAAATAGGTACTCCAATAAATACAAATGAAATTAAAGGAAATGCGGTTTTCTTGAGTTGGTTACAATGTGGTCTGGTTATCTTTGTAAATAACGTTTCAAGAGACCACGATGCGTTGTGGATTTTTGTTCGCTTAATAGCTTTTTCGTTTTTTGAGACACATTCGTAATGGAATAGACAATCTTTTCCCCTTGGTGTACCTACTCTATATTGCATCAATTCTGTAGTACAAAATTAACATTTTTGAACAAGAAATAAATTAGTGGCATCGGAACCTTCACAATTGCAATAAAAATATCGTGTTCATGTTATAACTGCAAATCAGGGATAAAAGTCGAAAAACATCACAAACTTTGGACGAATTGTACCAAAGAAAAAACACCCAATTTTGCGGCGAGTAAGTCATGTACATGTGGTAGCAATTAAGTATAAAAAGTCTGTTACATTTCATCTAACAGCTTATGTAATAACGTTTAGGGAACTCTTAATTTATTTTTAGCCGGATACTTTTTAGGCATCCGCAGAGTGTCTCTTGTCCTTTGGACAAAAGTATAGGTTTTCGAAATCCCACAAGTGTTTTAACGAAAAATGGTAATCCTGTTACGCAACTGGGTCAGCAACGTTGCGGCTCCCTACCTATATAAATTGTTTCCAAAATTCACAGTCGTAATATATTCCCATCCTTCGAACAATGATGGGAATTACATTTGTGTGTTAATTGGCGTTATCATCGTCAATTTAACTTCCTTACTTATAGTTTGCTGTACGTAGGTGATAAACAGCCGGTTCAATTAGTATAAAGGAAAGCGAAACTTTTTAAACAGCTACCGAACGAGGAAGTTTGGGAGGAATCATTTTCCCCTACAAGCAAGGCGAAAGTTTAAATTTAACTTCTCGATGGGTTACGATGTTAATAAAAGGTTAGTAGTGACAAGGTGGTCTATTGGTGAAGTTCAGAAAGTCGCTTCGGTCAAGTACCCGAAACCTTCTTTTTCTTGTACAAAGAGATACACCTGCTGAAGCTTGGAGTTCGCACACGTTTGCTGGTGTTGCTATTCTTGTGATGACCTCGCCTGTTGTCTTGTGGACGGTGTGAGCTACCGAAGAAAGGCCTCTTTTCAGTTTCAAATTGTAATCCACCGAAGTAAACGCAATACCGCCGCCGCGAAAGTTACAAAAACGCGCAGTTGCCGTCTTCGAAATTGTTTTGTGTGGTAAACAAGTTCTACATCTCGTTGGTTGCATAAATGTTACGGTTTTTAAATTGATCTAATGTAACAACTGTCGACATATAAATAAACAAACGTAATGAAGAGTTTGAAGAGGAAGTCGTGTATCTACGCGGCATCCTGCTTAACCGTTCGTCTGTATTTCCGTCCTGATATTTAATAGACTTTGCAAAACTATCATGTTGTACGTCACGTAAAAATGTTGTTGCGTGATAATCGCAATTGTTGATACAATGATACGACGCGTGTGATAATTAATATAAAGTGAACCTGAACGCTTTCTTGATATGGCAAAAATGTGAATGAAGTGCCCGCCAATAATGTTCAAACAAGTAAGTTTTTCGATTTTTTAATGGGGAGACGGGCGTCTCTTTACATTAAAACCATTCAACTTTGGGAACCTTTTAATAAAGCATTATGTAATGAAATTGTTAATTATTAAAAGGTCACGCTGGATGACTTTAGATTAAAATGGAACTCGTATATATAATAGCCTTGTTACGACAGCGCTACCGGCGACAAAGTGTGATTCGGATTCAGATTCTCATCGCATTGTCGGCTTTCATAATCTATCCCGGAAAATTATTCCTTCTCTGACACTTTACTATCTTTCTCACGAGCACATTTTCCTATCGACTACCTCAGCAGCAGGAGTATTTGAGGCCAAGGTTACTGTATAAATCTTAATAAAGTTTGTCCTAAGCGCAATTCTTATTCTATCGGAGTGCTAGGTACTCAACTCGTAGTAAAAAAATTAATCTTATGGTACCGCGGTTTTGGTTAATGATTACCATTAGAAGCAGCAGCGGTTGATAAACCTGTAAACTTCCTTTATGATTTTTCTTAATACTTATCCACCCGCATAAAATCGTGACATTAAAAAATGGCAACATTTTACGAGTAACTTTTTACAGCACCCCAATGCGATCTTAAACATTTGGTCATAAAACGGTAGGTAGTCCTAACTGTACATTTTTATAATTTTAGTGCGCGAAGCTGATCTGTGTATATATTTTCAGAGTAGGTAATAATAATAATGTCTATTTGTAGGGGACCCTCTACTTAATGAATTTCGGGTTATCGAAAAACATCTTCATTTATATTTCTATTATTTCTTCAGAAAATTATTATTAAAATTACAGGTCTAACTTAAGTACAAAATACAATGAAAAATATTGAAATACAGTAGGGTTCAAATTTCAAAAAGCACAGATTACACAGAAACAGTGAAGCTCGATGTGAGAGTCAGGGTGACTTTCAACACCTTACCCGGTGCCTTGGGGTGCGTAGCGTAGAATATTGCCTGCACGGTGACTACATGGAAATAGAATAATAGTTTTGAAGTGTTTTAGAGGAATTTTTTGAAAGAAATTTCCCTTATGTGATGGTTTTGTCTGTCAGTCTGTACCTCGTCTAACTCGAAAAGAAACATCGCCCTTTGTGAGTACCCTCTTCCGACAATCCGTTCTTGAGGTATAAGGGAATATACCCGATCACGATAAGAGGTCGAAGAGGAGGGCTATGGTTGGTAGAAATTAATTTCTTTCGATGAGACCTTTAATTAGAATACCATGAAGGGTAGAACATGTGTTTAACCCCCCCCCCCCCCCATTTTCTAAAGTTTTACTTGGCACCACTAAAGGCATGCGTATGCAAAATCTGAGACCATTTTTTTTAATTCTTAAAAAATGCGCTAAAAATTCCTCTACTGAAAACGTCTACGATGCTTCGTATCTTGTTTTTCTTTTAGACCTCGGATTGCACGGACCGTCGGATTACCGCGACCTTACTGTAATTATGAAATATATCATCATAAAAAGAAACTCTTAAGGGGGCTAGGGATAGAGGATAGGCAACACACAATGGTCACTGAAATTTGCAGTCGAAACTTTTGAGTAATTTTTGAAGCCCAAATATTAATTCTAACTAGAGGTCTTATCGGAAATTGATAGAGATATAGAAAGTCATTAAATGTAGCGATTTATTTTTTTGATAAAATTATTCAAGTCGTGTATAAATGATAATCTTGAATTTACTAAGAACGCGAATACTGGCCTTAGTAAAAAAAACATTTAAAAAGTAAATCCGCACAATTTATTTAGTAACTAAGTGGATTAAAAAAATATATTACGAACTGCTTCAAATTATGAAATAACCCGTAATTTTTACTCAAAAGTTTATATAAAATATAGTGACGGAAGAAATGCAATACCTTCCATACAATGACGATAGGCAACTCAGGTAGCACTTTTACCTGGAAAATATTAACACCTAATGACCATTATACCTACTTATATACAATGGTTTATGACCCTATTAGACCAGTAACAAAAGAATCTCAATGCCTTCCATTTATTCGTCTATTAGGACCAACGATAGTTGAGCGATAATTAAAAAAATATTGTGCGTCAATATTCAGGAGTAACAACGATTTAATTTTTTAGACCCGTTTCATACATTTTTTTCATACATTTGATGTAGGTGTATTGTTACCTACTTATCAAAAAGCAATTTAATAATATCGATTAGGTACATAAAAATTATATACAATTTGGACGATGTACCTATTATAGATAAACATAACGAATTGTTTGTTGCACCTTCTTGAATCTAGCAGCTCTGTTAAAAAACTGTTAATACAAAAATTGATAATCGTGTGTCTTACATACCTTAGGTGATAAATCTCAACGAAAATTTCAACCAGCAATTTTATTGACCAATGAAATGCGGATTTCGTGTCACATTTCCATGGCAACCACGGAATTTATCGTCAATTTTTTGACGTAAAAAGGTAATAATGTTTTGACATAAAATTCCCTTGACGAAAGACTCCTCTCAGGAATGTTCTCCAGCATAAGGACATCCCCGGAATTTTGACATAAAACGTCACTTTTTCGTTGAGAGTCACTATGGTGTCAAATTTTCTTACCGAATACCACAGTGCTTGAATAGAATTTTTTTCTTGCTCACGAATATTTTGCGAAAGTTCAAATATTTGTGAGCTCGAAAAGTTTCCGGAAATAGCAAGCACTAGTAGTATTACAGTGATAATTTTTTATTTCAGCATGTCGTTAGTAAAAAATTGTCAAAGTCCTCGTGTGAGATCTTGTCGAAGCTACCACATTCCCTTCGTCGGTACTCGCGTCCGACGTCCCGTGCATCCCCAATTTGCGTTTGAAGTTTTACTCCATCAGTAAGATCTTGGCGGGGACCACCACATTCCCTTTCTCGGTACCCACTTCCGACGTCTCGCTCACCCGCAATTCGAGTTTGAAGTTTTTACTCCACCATCAGTTTTCAGATTGTTTTCAAAATGGCGCCATTGGAAAGATCTGGTAAACGGACACAAAAACTGCGTAGCGAAAATTTGTTTTTTTCCTGGGTACGAAATTAACCTCATTTTACAAGGCGTACGTCTGCGAGGGGTAGTTGACTTAGGGCGCCCAAAAGGTATCTTCCTCTGCGAATTTTGTTTCTGAAAGCTCGAATCGCGATCTCTCTTTCTCGTGTGGCTAATAGAGCTATGAGAAGTGCCCCAAAAATTGAGAACTATTTTGTGGAGAGTACACTGCCTTTTTTTGCCCCGAAAAAAAATTGTCTCAGATCGTCCCGGAAATAAATTTTTCTTATAGAACGTGGCCTGTAGAATTCATAATTTCAAACAGTTCCAAGATTGGGCTACTAATTCAAAAGTTACAGCCCTTTGAATTTTCTTTCGAAATTGGTTTCTAAGTCTATAACTTTTGATTGAGAAGTCTGATCGAAAAAGTACGAATTGTTTGGATTCTACGCACCAAAATTAATAAGAAAAAGTGTTTTCCCGAGATTTAGCAAAATTCATCTAAATGCGAATGGTGAGTGAACGGAACGTCGGAAGCGGGTACCGACAAAGGGAATGTGTTAGCTTGCGATAAGATCTTTTTTATGATGGCTAATACAATACTGATCGGCCACACAAAAATGCGCCGATCTCTCTTCGATCCCACACGAGGACTTTGATAATTTTTTAATCTACCTATGCTTTTGATAATTCCACTGAAGGTTTGACGGCTAGCCAAATAAACTATTTTCGTAAAGCATCAGGCGAATGTCGTGTTGGAATTGGAAAATTTCCGAAAATCTATTAAAACATTTTTTGTAATGAAAAATGCGTCATTTATTTTGTTGTAAATTAGATCAGAATTCAGATATATAATTTGATAAATGGGGGAAGGTTGAAAACGCAGCAAATACCGGGCTACATTGCGGAAGCCATGCGAAATATCGAAAACTGTTCATCTAACTGAAGAAAAGTACCATTCTTACATCCGCGGCACCTGTGAAAATCGTTATCATATAAATTTAGAAATCTATGGGGCCGTAGTTTGATCGTATGTGATAATTGTTTAAATAAATTTGTGCTATGAACCACAAAAATTGAAGACCAGTTTTTCTTGTTTTGGAAATTGTTCCCTTCATTACCCAAGTCCAAATCTCAAAAAGTCATTATTGTAAATCCCTATATAGGAAGTAAGTAGGAATGATATCTTAGAAAGTAATACATTAGTAATATTTTTATATAGGTATGTAGAGCTCTCAGCTTTGATTTCCTATTCTATATTCAAAGGTTTCCAGTATTAGTAAAACTGTAAAACATCAGGGGAAAGTTGAAATTCCATAAATCAGTTACTTTTGTTGAATAGCCGCTAATGAGGGTCTGGAATCTGGTTTTATTGTAGGAAGATGAGGTCATTTGCAGGTAACTTATGCCTGGTGAAACTTGTCGAATTGCACGATTGGTTGCCTATATAATTATTTGCGTAGGCGCAGCTTAAATTTTTAATGGCCTGTCCCTAGCCGCCTTAACGTAGATGACATGAGATGTACAAATGCTCTAAGGTTTCGCCTCGTGTCGTAGCTGGATTCTCGGTTCTTTTTTCCCTGCCTTCTCGTTACACTTGTCGATGGAGAGAGAAGGGGAACATTCTACGAATTTATGGGATCACACATGTACCTGTTACATTTACACCGACTATTGCGCGCCAATGGGACACTCGTGCTTTATATTGTTTGAAAATCTAAGATAGTTTGAGCATCTTATTGGACTTATTGTTTTTATTAATCCCTATTGTAGTGGTCGGTATGGGGCGGGCGCGAGGCCCTGGGCTGCAGCCCTTAATGGCCCTTCTCAAAACTGTTGAACGACTTTAGTGACCCCAAAACATGTTTATTTGTGGATGGTCGCAATATACATTTTTACCGGTGGGTGGGTCATAATCGAGGTCATAATAGGGTAGTCTGGTTCTGGGCGATTTGAAGTAACGGTTCTAGTAAACAAAAGTCTCATGAACTC